GGCTCAGGACTGATTGGACAGGGAAAGGTTCACGTGCGCACTGTTGCTTCCCTAGCGCAAGCGTCTTGGGAAGATGGCCAAGCGCCACCTGCTTTTGCCTACTTTGCCAGCCTTGGCAATTTTGGCCGCTGCCCTTCGAACGAAGAGAGAGACTTACATAAATGGCTGGTGGACCTTCACAATGTTTCACTTCAAGTTTACCACGTTCCCATGCGGCTCCATGCCACTCAACAACAATGCAGAATGTTTGTTTCCTTTCAGTGATCAATGGGTAGAATTCTAATTGCCTTTCAAAGATCCAAGGTAGCTGACTCTCTAGAGCTTGAGGATGTTCAAGTCCCCCGTCTCCTTCCGCATGAGATTCTATATTCGCTCGGCAACGCCGGAGAGAATCAGGCTAGGAGGGGTGATCCCACCTACATATAGTTATATAATGGTAAAAAGAAAATACATACATACTATGAAGAATAGATATACACTAAATGTTCACCCGCATCCCTGCCAGTTTCGGAAATCTATGTTGGGTGACTGGTCCGCCTCTGGCATCGCTGACCTCTGGAACCACTGCCGCAAATTTGAGGAGTGGGCTGACCATCCAATCTTCCATGACGGCGAGGGGCATGACCTTGGGAGCTCTGGGGTCGAAAGGTATGGTTTTGTTTGGCTTGTGGTCTCCATGCTCAAGGGTTCGAGTTTTGACCCACCACTAAATAGCAATGATCGCCAGTTGCTTCAACCGAAAGCGTCATCCATGGACCCTAAAAAGAAATGCCTGAGGTTGCATCCCATGCACGTTCCATTGTGATGGGGCTGAGTTCTTTCGGAACACCGAGTTCATGGTGTGGAGCTTTGGAAGTTTGCTCGCGTCAGGGGATGTCTCTCAGTAGAAAAATTGTCTTGGATGTTTGTTTGGCGGCGGTTCTCATGAACTCGGGGTTCAATTTTCAATGTCTCGGCCACCGCTCTCAGGTTATGGACATCAAATTTCCACTCTGCATAGTACCCCATGAATGCATGCGAAGCCCACAAGTCACTCGGTCCAACCAACTGTTCTGATCAGTCGGCTAAGAATGATGAAACCCAAATCAGAACCCACCTGGCCCTGTCGACCCGGGTTCTGAGGTGCGGCGCGATGTTCACACGAAAGTGGCGCACCTTATGTCGTGGTCAATGACTTGGGCGCTCAAAGGCGTGTGGCCCGAACAGGGCTTTCAGGATGAAGCCTTCTTGGAGTGGACCGCTATCGTTCTCCAACTGGAGGTTCCGTTTTGGGAACTAAAAACACATGTTTTTTGTTGAACTCTTCACTCAGCGGTTTCCACTTGGGAACTTGCCTCCCTGAAAGGCTAGCGTACTTTGGAAGTCGTGGAGACGCTAAAGCGAGGGTGCAAACAAACTTTTTTGATCGATGGTATCAACGCAAGTTCATTTGTGAACTATGCATGAGCCCAAACCCACCCCTTTGGTTTCTCAATTACAAGCCTGATTGCCCTCGGTATATGACATATTTGAGTGATGCCACGTACAGACTCACATCTACAACCGTAAGTCCTTGGACAGCAATGCCCGGCCGGTCTCTTCGAAGTTGTTTCTGGGACTGGATGCACTGCGTCTATTTAGGGATTGCGAAAGACCTGATCTCCAACCTTTTGGCAGACTTCAATGATGTTGGAGCTTTGGGGGAAGGGACCTTAGATGAAACTGAGACGATTCTCCCTAAGTATGCAGAGGGAGTTCAAGAGACAAAAGAATCTAAGCTGAGCCGTTGTAATTTTGATTTTTCATTGTACTCTATCACCAACTTTTGGACACCAAAACCTACAGGGTATTGGGATCATCCGGATGATCCCTCCTTTACTGCAAGTGTGGCCACCGAAGGATTGCTGTTCGAAAACTGCACTTCACCCCGGCCAACACTGGGTTGGAGGACAACAATTACCCGGAGCTTGGCACTGCTTGGAAAGCCGCGCATGTAAAACTTGCCCTTTGGTACATCACGAAGCCCGCGCGCGATTTTGCAGAAGAGAGGGATGCGCCTAGACTAGACCATTTAGAGGTTTTTGAGATGCAATGCGCTGTTGCCGCAACCTCATGTCTAGCAAAAGGGGGTTGCGGTTTTCCCGCGCGCCCGGACTGCCCAGGACCCAATCCTCGAAGTTGGGGCTTCCTGCTCATGGGCATTGCTCTCGGCCATTGAGAGCATGGACGCTGCAGGCCTGATCATGACAGAAGAGCAAGCCGTGCAAACGCACCAGGGCTTGATGGAACATTTGCACTGTTGGCACGCTATGCGTGCTTCATGCATTTCTGCTGCCGTTAAACGGTGGGATGTTCGTCCGAAACATCATTATGCGGAGCATTGCGCCGAAGCTGTCTTAAGGACACGGGTCAACCCTCGGCGGCTAAGTTGTTTTCAAGATGAAAGTTTTCTTGGGGCTGTGAAAGCGGTAGCCACAAAGTGTCACTCGACGACCGCTTTGCTCCGAGTATTTCAGCGATTGGTGTTGAATCTTGGACAAAGGTTCAAAAACTCCCGTGATGAGAAGCATCACTCCACCGGCAAACGACGACGCAACTCTGTGTCGAGCCTGCTCTAAAAAGAAGGAGGCCATGGCCATAGCGAACCGTCCGGCGGTCCGAAAACGTGGAAAACAAACGAGGGAAACAAACACGTTTGATGATTCTGGTGTTCTTTATGTAAATAATAGATATGTATATGTATGTATTGAGATTTGGGAATGGTCTGTGGGTTTTGTGTGTGTTTGTCGTTCTTGTGACAAGTTGGCCTGCAATTCAAGCAGTTTTCGAGTCAACAAAAATGAGAGTTAAAGCAACTTTCGAGTTTCACAGCTACGATGGTAGTGGAGCATTGCTGAATACACCTCATGCCTCACGCAGCGGTGACAACACTTCTATCGAACGATGGAGGCGTCTTCATAAAAAGAAGATCGACCGTTAAAAAACGAGATCACCCAAATCGCCCAACGGTGTCGGTTGCCAGGGGAAAAACGAGATCGCCCGAGTCGTTGGACGGTGTCGTTTGAAATAGGAAAAAACGAGATCGCCCAAGTCACTGGACGGTGTCGTTTGAAATGAGAGAAAAAAACGAGATCGCCCGAGTCGCTGGACAGTGTCGATTGAAATGAGAGAAAAACGAGATCGCCCAAGTCGCTGGACGGTGTCGTTTTATTTCACAAATGGTTTTACGCAAAAGTTTTGCGTATGTGTACATCTGAAACACGCAAAACTATATGCGAAGTCACCGTCGATATCAACGACAAAACAAAACGCATCTGCCGAAGCGCTTGGTGTTGTCGTGTGTGTAGCACACGTTTGCTTATAAGTTGCAAGCATATGTGTGCATGTTTAATTGAAATGCGCGACTGCTTACCAAAATCCTTCACTTCACTCGACATAGTATATAGCCCAGCTATATATATGCCAGTGAATGGTGGATGGAATAATATCATGACCACTCATAACATTACGCAGGCTTGCTATAGCAAACATGCCATCATATGGCATACGATACCAACGACATCGTTTTGCGCCGAAGTTGTCATAAGTTGTCGAAGTTGTCCTTAGAACAACTTTGGATCCTCACGGCAATATGGCAAGTCGGAAGTCAAAACCCAGGGCATTGGAATCAGACAAGGTTGCCCACTTAGTCCATATCTATTTTTGCTGGTGATGACGTGTGTTGATTACGATGTTAGGTCCCGCAGCTCTGGTCACGTTGTAAACTCAAGAATCCCGGGCGTTGACTTCGATGCCGTTTACTATGCAGACGATACAATTCTTTTTTCAACTTCCCCAAGAGGAATGAATGAAATTTTGAAGCGTATGGAGGAATGTTCTGGATATTACGGATTGAAACTTAACCGGCCAAATGCCATTCCTTTAACATGCACCGTGAGGCGCGCATACATTTTGCCGATGGTTCACTTCTAGATACAGCGCAAGATGCTACATACTTGGGGAACAACCTCAACCACACAGTAAACCTTAGAAGAGAAATTACACAACGGATCCAAGATGCAATGTCAACTTGGAGGCGTTTAGCGGTTTTTTGGAAAGCTTCCAATGTAAGCAAGAAATGGCAACTCATCATATATGATGCTGTCATTAAGACCAAGCTGCTGTATAATCTGGAGACTGTGTTCCTCACTCAAGCCTTACGCAAGAAAATGGAGGCTTTCCAACTACGTGACTACGCGGGTTGAGGCAAATTCTAAAAATACCTACAACCTACATTGACCGACGGTGGACGAACGACAGGGTGCTCGAACTTGCTTCAAGAACAGCATATCCGCGTGATCCTAATAGTAGAATTAGACCCGTTACGATTGATTTGGATCAGAAGCGAGTTCGTTTTGCTGGACATATATTGCGGGCCCCTAATCACGATCCCCTTAGACAAGTATCCTACCAACAAAACAGCGCCGGGCCCAAACATATAGGGGAACGTAGAGTTGGAAGACCGCATCAGCATTGGGTGTTTAAGTCTAACGAAGACGTTCATGCACTGCATAGTCATACTCAATATGATGGAGATCATTTTCAGAATGATGCAATTTTGAGGGCGGCGCAAAATCGAGCAATATAATCCAAAAGCCAAGGGCCCAAGCATCCTTCTCGATGCTGAGACTCAGTATTGGACGCAAGGCAAAAACAAAAAAAGGGAACAGTACTTAAAGGGCAGCTTGGGAAGGTCACGAGCCACTCATCCTGCTACTCGTATGAATGTCGCATGGGACGTTTACGTGCAAAACAGTGCAACACTGACACTGATCACTGGATCGATGCGATCACCAGTGACTAAAACATCTAACGCCAAGATTATCATAGGGCATCTAGGAAAGGGACTTTTTCAGCGAAGCAACAACACCCCGACCACCGATTCCGTCCTTTCTTCAGATCGTTCAAACCCTAGCTTATTCAAGGTCCTGGCGCGGATAGGAGTCCTGGGTTGTTTGACATTCCTCACACGAATGGTCCAGGCATGGATGCTGCGAATTTGCCGCGCAATGCCTCAAGAGTGTTTGGCCCTTTGCAGGCTCGGGGAAGGGGGCTTGTCGGAAGGCTTGATGTGATGGAACGGTCAGCGTGCGTGCGCGTGCGTGCGTGGGTGTGTGTGTGTGTGTGTCAAACTCCGTCTCGGGGGGTCCACTCTGCAGGGGGACTGGAGCTGATTTGCCTATCCAGTCCAACGAAGCTATGGCATTTCGGTGGATGAGTGGTTTGATCAACCACTTGTACCTGCACTGATGGAACTTTTGCCCACGCTGTGACTCCACTTTTCCACCTTTTGCTTCCATGGTTCTTGCACGATACTTACCTACCCCCAAACCCTGACTTGCAGCTGAACCGCGCTGAAGCTCGACACCGCCGCCGCGTTCTGCAGTCACGCGCAGACAGTGTTTTCAACTATTCAAGTGAGCTGACTCCACCGCCGTTCCGTTCCCTCATTCATTTCTTCGTGGAACGGAGTTCACTGAAAACCCAATGACTAAGTGTGTTTCGCTGTGTCTTCCCATGGGTACACAGTGTGAACCCCCGCAAGGGGGCGCGGAAACCATCGTGGATCACAGATTGACTCAGCGTTCTCTGCGCGTTGGATTATGGTTTCTGGAACCCCGCGTTTCACCCATGAATAATCTGATCGCAAAGCGGCCGCGCTTACGGAGACTCGTTCAACACTGATTTGCTCCGCTGGGTTCAAGAGCTTTTCAAGAGCTTTTTTCATGAGCTTTTCACGAACCTTCTCCCTGTGCAGTTGGGTCCACCCACGATTTCTTTTGACGGTTCCATTCTATTTGTCTAACTCGGACCTGAATTTTCTTCATTTTCGCTGCAACTGACTGCAAACGGTTTTTGAGAAAGCGGTAAAAAAGAACTTTCATCCACTGTTGCGCCGATTTCGGCGTTTTGTGTGTGTCAAACTCCGTCTCGAGGAGTCCACTTGTGATCGGTTTTTCGCACTGACACTCGAAAGTCTGCAGGGGACTGGAGCTGATTTGCCTATCCAGTCCAACGAAGCTATGGCATTTCGGTGGATGAGTGGTTTGATCAACCACTTGTACCTGCATTGATGGAACTTTTGCCCACGCTGTGACTCCACTTTTCCACCTTTTGATTCCATGGTTCTTGCACGATACTTACCCCCAAACCCTGACTTGCAGCTGAACCGCGCTGAAGCTCGACACCGCCGCCGCGTTCTGCAGTCATGCGCAAGCAGTGTTTTCAACTATTCAAGTGAGCTGTCTCCACCGCCGTTCCGTTCCCTCATTCATTCCTTCGTGGAACGGAGTTAACTGAAAACCCAATGACCTGTGTGTGTGTGTGTCAAACTCCGTCTCGAGGAGTAATGAGTAATGGCCAGCACCCCATCGACATCGCCGTCGCATACGACGGCGCCTACGACCCAACACAGACAACCCTCCACCACCAACCAACGCACAGAACGACCAATACCCCAAGCACGCAGTCATGCGCCGAGCCCCCCAGTCATGCCGCCACACTTCGACCGCAAACCTCAGCAGGAGCAAATCGAAAACTAGCTTAACTATCACACTCAACAATTCAACACTCCGAACATCCCACAGAATGCCTTTGTTGCCAAGTTGATCGTTGACAGTGCAGCGATCTCTCGGACTTTCAAGAATTCACACACATTTTCTGGAACCCAGACACCGCCCGCTATGACCTCCACCGTTGCAACCACGTCACCATTAATTCACTCGCTGCGAAAGCGCACCATCGCTTTCCACCAAGGCCCACACGTGCCACTGACACTTCTCCAGAAGTTGTCCACATCATTGGCGGGCGCACAGGCCTTCTGGGCAACATTATTCAAATCCTTCAACAGGGTCGTTTCAGACCAAGCACTTTGCACTTTGCACACAACACTGGTTTTTTCGCCCAAGCCTGCAAGGCCACACACACACACCTTCCCCACTGACCACATTGAGCGAGCACGCATCCTCCACAACACCTGGAAGTTACACAAACAACATTCCATCATCATCTCACTCTTAGCCTGGGGCACCGGGCAAAAAGTCCTGCAGGGCGGCGAGGAGCAAGCTGCAAACCTTTTTTTTTAGCAAGGCCACGGCAGGGTTTTTCATAAGAATGGCCGCTGCTGTGCGATCCACCCTCACAACGCCATTGTCAGAGGCCTGGCGTGGGCCTCAGACGCAACACCACCGGCACTGTGATACCCACAACACCAACAACCACCCACCCCCACCCCAGCTCCGCCCCACCACAACACCACCGGCTCCACCAGCGAAAAGGAACCGCTGCAGCTGCCGCTGTGTTGTTTGCTGACATGCAGATATCACCAATCACATTTCCGAATCTGGTACATGTCGGATTGTCATGAAATTTGCGCGTCTTTATCTTTCTAGTGGCTCTTGAACTGCTTGGACTCCGCGGTTTTGTCTGGCATTTCACCAGACAGTTTGATCTATTTGCACCTTCGGGCTCTGCTTAATTCGCTGCGCGATTTTTCCATTTACTCCTAATTCATTTGCACGCTCGATTCCCCTCGTTCCGCCATTTGCACCTGACACTTGCACAGCTGCTGCTACGCTGCCAGCGACTGCTGCTGCCAAGCTGCCGGCGGAACCAATCCAATGAACTCGGATATGAACAATTTGCTCCTCCAAGTCACCGCGGGTTTCTCTCGACTCCACCAGGGCCTGCAAGCAGCAGCAGACATTGCCCAAGATTTCCATACTTTCCTTCTCCACTACACACAACAAGTTGATCCACACTTCCAACAGCCACCGCCACCTCCACCACCTGTCATTTTACCCCCACCTCAACTCCCACTCTCTCCCACTTCTTCGTGTGACACTCCTCCACCTCGTCCTGCTCATCGGCGACCACGTTCTCCTTTTCCCCGAGTCTGAACAGACACCGACACCCTCTGCATCGCCGCCACCCAAGCGAAGACGCGCACGGCAGTGCAAAACCCGTTGGGCTGAACTACAGGACTTGCAACAACAACTCCTTCACGCTCAAGAACATCACCACCCCTCACCTGCACACTCTTCTCATTCCTCCGCAGAGCGCGACAACACACCAGGGGCTGTCACTCCCACACCCACTAGCCCTAACGACCCACTCCACAAGACAGCAGCTGCCGAGACGTCGCCTGACGCGCCCTGGCCCTATGCACCCGCTGCTGCCGCGCCTTCTCCGCAGCTGGCCCATGATTTCTTCACGTGAGTCCACACAGGGGACCGCACTGATTTTGGCTTGAGGACAGGGATCCATTCGTTTCACCACAATCCCCCGGCGTGCTGACGGAAATCACCTTGCGGCGGATGAGATATCGGCACTGTTGAGTTCTCAGCTTGCTTTTCGGTTTTTCAGTTTGTCACGCCACTGCAGTACAGTTTCTCCCTACGCCTTTTCTTTTTCTTTTCTGCACTACTTTATGTGGATTTTGGTATTGATTGCACTATTTTGCACTTTTCGTTTCACTTTCAAACCATTGACCAGCTTTACACGCTTCGTGTCATTTTGACTATACTCATACTCTGGTTTTTGCCTCCGCAGCTTTTGTCGAACTTTCCAGTCCTGTCGCTCCCACACCTAGCTTCTTCAGCATGGGCACTGACAGCAGCAGCACTCCAGCCGACTGGCCAACGACGCATCTTCCATACATGTCACCATCCACCGCCCACCAACCTGAGCTTCTTCTTCTCCAATGGATGCTCCACATGCTCGAGCGGCTCACTGAATCTATTCTTCAACACCCCCTTATCCTCGATCCCATCCCCAGCCAGGAACATTTTACGGACCACGACTCCTATCGACTCCGCAATGCCTTGCACCGGCTGGCTCCTATCACGCTTGACTTGAACCAGGGACGTCGTCTCTTTGCATGGTACCGGGGACTTTACGGCCCGAACCCTTAGCCATGGCAAGTATTGTGGTCTGATCCCAACCCGCAGCGTTGCGGAGTCGGTGTTTGTGACCCACCTTCTCCAAGCTATACTGGGCAAGCGCCTTGACCTCGACGCAACCACTGAAGCCTTGCACCGCAGCCGCGGCACAGACATCCCCAACACAACCACACAAGCACGAGCCTACATGGCTCCCCTCATTGACCTCCTCACATCCCACCTAGCACCGGCGGCCGCTGACGGCTCAGCCCTGCGCGAACTCAAAGCCAAGAGCGAGGAACTCCTCCACGCTCAAGCAAAACTCCATAAACATGGACCATGGACTTACACTCACGCCGCGCAAGGACACCAAGAGCCGACCAGCACGCGCTGCCGCAGCACACGCTGAACCTTCCCTTCCTGAAGCTGCCGCGCCAACCCCCCCACGATCGAAGACATCCTGCAACCTCCACACCCCTCCCTCAAAGACGACATTCCTGAGGGACGGTCGCTCAACGCCATCAACTCTTGAAACATTCAGCTCCTTTCCCCGGCAACCTTCGACCCATTCCCGCGCCCTCTCAGTTAGGCGCATCTACCAGCGACCCCACACTCCCCACCGCGATATCCCCATCCAGTCCCCCCCAATGCCTCGTCGGCGCCAGTCCGTCCACTCCCACCAAAGCGACCTCGTGCCAGCCAAGCGGCCAAAAACAAAGCCAAGTCCAAGGTCCCCGCGCCAACCTCAGCATCATCCAGCCGTCGTTCCAAGCTTCTTGACGAACTACATGCAAATCCGGGCGCCGGCCACGCGCCCGTGTCCTCGCCGGAGGCCTTCGGTGGTAACCGAAGGTTGTAGACGGTCGCCCCCCCTGCCGCCGACCCTCGTCACGAAAACGGGGGGACCCCGTCGTCACTACCGGGTCACTGATGCCCCTGTAATTTACAGTGTATCGTGTGTGTAAGGTATAAAAAAGCACTGTGTTTTATAGGGTTTTGGGCCCCTCGGCAGCCGAGAATTTTATGTTGGCGATGTCAAAAAACGTGAGTTTTTCCAGTGTTTTTGCTTTGCGGGAAAGAAAAAATCGTAAAAAGTTGTCTCGGAAGATTTTTTCAACATAAATTGCCTAACATATCCCCAACATAGGCCGAAGATAGCCAACATATCCCAACATAGCCTCCAAGATGTCTCAACATAGGGCCAGAATAAGCCAACACGGGGCCAACCTGGGGCCAACATAGGCCCAACGTAGGCCCAACATAGGCCAACATAGGCCTAACATAGGCCAACGTAGACCCAACATAGGCTCAACCTGGGCCCAAGATGTGCCCAACATGGGCCCAACTTGGCCCAACCTAGGGCCAAGATGCGCGCCAGATGGCTTAACTTCGCTCAATATACGCCCCATCGAGGCCAACATCGGCGTGACATGCGCCCCACAGACCCAAGTGGGCCGGCGCCCGGCTGTTAGGCGTAAGCCTTTAAATTTGGGACTCCTGGGAACCTTGGCAGGAAGAGCAAGTCGTGGACATGAAAACCAATCAAATTGCGGCCCAGCTGGACCTTCATTGCCAAGAAGCTACAATGCTCCGCCGCCCAGCGCAAAGCTCGCCTGGTCCGAAAGCCTAGACCTCCAGGCAGCTATCGACAACGCCCAACCCCACGACGAGACAGAACCTCCAGCCAACCTGGAAGGTGAATCACATCCAGCAGAGGCTACCAAAACTCCGTCCTTCCCAAGAGACTGGTCCTTCCACGGTGTCTACGGCATCAGCAACCCCGGTTCCCATGGACCAATTTTCAAGACGATCCCAGTCCACCGCTCGCTCTGAGTTTCCCGCAGAAGTACCTCGAGATTTGAACCCTCATCCTGCTCCAGGACCCGAACCCGTACCCTGAAGTTTCAATAGGTCTCACACACTCTCGACTTGGCGACTGCCCTATATCAACCCTTACATGGTTTCGACCAAAAAGCTGCTCCTTGCTCGATTGCACAACTTCAAATTTGAACGACCCAGCTCCCTCATACCCCATTCTACCACCCCTTCCCCATGCCTGGTGCATTCAGCCGTTTCATGCTCATCTCGGCCGCGGCCCCATGTCGACTCCGGGTTTTCCGACGATCAGTGAACGAGGTGGACTTCGATCCATTTCGGACCTTGACTATGCCTCGCCGACCTCCACGACAACTTGATCCGGACCAGTACGGCATCCTGAAATGATGTGGCTCCACTGGACCCTCCATTTGCTTTCTTGGATCATCGAGTGCATCCAGCTTCACCCTATTGTTCTTCAGCCAGTTCCTCCACAGGCTCAATTTCCCAAATAAAAGGAGAGTATCACAGCTACCATGACTTCCGAATCCTTCTACTCGAGCTTGGGGTCCTCCGTAGTCGTCTTTTACCAGCTCTTCGACAAGTTCAAACCATAACCCACGATGAGCTCGCCGCCCCCACTCGCACTTGGGGCAGAGACGATATTCAATACATGACTACGTTGCCTCCAGGTGTTCCACCAGATGCTCAACCAGCGGAAGTTCACCCGCCGAACTCTGATCCGCGAGACTCCATTCGGCTGCGCGCAACACAGTGAGGATTCCATTGATGCTCCCTGGAGCCCGCGACCGATCTCGCACACCACCGGCTTGCACTGAAACTTCCTCCACGTCCACACCCTGGACCACCTCGAGTCGTACAACCTCACAAGGCGCATCTCCGGATGGGCGCGATGGTCTTCATGCCTCCCTTCTGGCAAGCGACTCATCGCCGTCATGACCCCGTCGCGAGTTTTGAGGAGAACCCTCCGTGATTTCCAGCTTCACCGCACGATTCGTGATACTTTTTGCAAAAAAGACGCTCTTTACGCATCGTTTGTTGAGGACCCAGCCAATCTTCGTCTCCTTCCATTGGTTAATTTTCCAGGCCTCCACACTTTCACTTGGTATGTTTGACATCCTCCCCAGTCCTTCCCCACCAACGCAGCCATTTTCTCAGCCTTTTGATCCGGGCCTGTACCGCATCCTCATTCGTTCCCCATGGCCACACTACATGTTCCAGGATCACGACTTCAGGACCAACACCATCAGCTGATTCAACGGTGAGTTCAACTACCGGAGCCCTACATGAAGCTCCACCTAGTGATCCGTTTGCCGAGTCAAACTCAAGATGTCCGCTATGCTTTCTGCTACTGTCTCAACTACCCGACTCCTCCGGGCAAGTACACCAGCTTGATTATAATCGACGAGCCAAGCTCAAGCAACTGGCCAAAAACACACCCATTTCAGCAGAACTTTCCCTCCGCTATTGGCGTGCCACAAACACCATTACCCAATACTCCACCATCCACATTGCTACGTATCCCGACTATGACCAGGCCTGGATCCACGAACATCTTTTCATCTCTCAATGGCAACCCACACTCAACTGGCCTTACATTTCCCAACACTTGAAACTCAAAGCCGACGGCTGGCAATTCAGCAGGCACCGAGCCCATTACTTTCCTCGACTTGCCAACCACTTCCGCCTCTTTCGTCGACTTCGCCGCCGTACATTCCACCAATCAACCTGTACTCGACACCTCCCACAAGTTACATGCTCTCACTGTCTTGCGAGATGTTATACCAAACACTCTCAGGCATCCTTCGAAGCAGCACGACACCTACGCTCAGGACGCTACACCGAGCTCGAAGTCTATGCCATACGCCGTATGGCTACCAGCCTTGAAGAACCAGGACGCAGTCGGGCCGTTCACCTCATCAACCAGGCACTGACTTATCGCAATCTCACACCAGCCAAGAGCAATCTTCCCCTGACCATCCCATTCTTGGCACACACCGACTTCCAAGCGGACACCCAGCGATGGCTTGCCACCATCCTGAACCGCCACAAAAACTTTGCCATTCCTCTCCACCTCCCCACATGCCGCCTACGAGAAGCCGCTCACCCCACCCTACGCAGCCGTCTATTACATAACCATCGGAAGTGGCGCTTTCTTCCCCACCAAACGACGATATTGGGACACTTTCTGGCACTGCCTCACCAAATGCTTGAAGCATCATTGCCTACCAGCCACCCTTGTCCAACGTGCTGAAACCTCTCTCACCACCCACCAAACATCTGCATCACCTACAACAAGAAGACCGTTTCACCGCCAGATCCCTCAAGCAGTTACAGGAATTTCTTGGAGATACTGTGGTCCTCCACCATGCAGATCATGAATTACAACACCTCCGCATTTTCTGCCCTCGAATTTGCTTCCGCGGATGCTTGGTCACATGCAATCATCAGAGCTTTTCCAACCACGATACCGATCAATCCATTCCTCAGATCATACAACGCACTTTCCCAGCCAACCTCCGCAGAAAGTACAAATGGGGCTTCCTCACCAATTTCAACATGCCCTACGGTGTTGTTCACTTGAAAGCCAAAAAACAATGGAAGAAAGGGCGCGCTATCATTTCCTACTACAAGTCTCACTATGGACCACTGCTTCGAGTCACATCCAACGTCCTCAACACCATGATCTACCGACTACTACCGCAATCACCAGGACAACTTTCCATACCTCAACTATGGCAGCGCTTCCACACCACATCGCTCTACGCCGTGAACGAAGACCTTGCGGGCTTCTTCAACTCTGTTCCTCAAGATCGATTGGTTGATGCAGTCCAAAGCCTGGTCAACCGATGGCAGCACAATTTGCCACCCCCACCATTACCGTCGATACACAATCACAGGCGACCCCATACAGCTAGCACACATCGGCAGACACCACCGCCGACACCCCACCCAACGCACCCTGGACACAAGCGGCATCACTAGCATTGTAGCACTAGCTCTTGACTCTTGCATTTTCAAGGCTTGTACTATGTACTTCCTGCAGGTTCGAGGAGCTGGGATTGTCCCAACTCTCCACCGCGCTGTGCAATGTCGCCATCACATTGATTGAGCATTCTTGGCATCAACTTCACCACTCGCTGACGGATCACACTGAGATCCACTTTGTCTACTACCGCTACGTGGACAACCGCTTTATTGCCTTCAACCACACCTTCCTCACCCACGTGGCTATTCAGACCCTAATTCACCCCGACTTCTATGGCAACCCAGTTGAACTTGAACCGGTGGACAATATGCACCTTCTTGGCTTCGACGTGGACCTCCATCAACGGACCATCACCTACATGCCACAGAACGCCTCATGGAAAATTCGAGACCACGCCTCCGCCGGTTCCACACGCCTACGACTTTCAGGATTTCCCTCCAGAACACACCTCATCCGCAAGTACACCTACCCGTCCTCGGCAGTCGAGCGAGCGCTCGCTCAGCTAGCAGATTTGCACGTCCAAAAAGGACATGATCTTCACATGTGTCAGCAAGCACTACGAAAAAGTTCGATCTCCCACCTCCTTCGCTCCTGATCCCTTTCCACGGGTTTCCATCACACGCAGAGCGCCGATCACGGCCCGTTGTGTGTGTGTCACCACCTGTTCCTAAGGCTCTCAACTTTCCTTGTCCCGTGGGTTTTTGAGACATCATCCAAACCTCGCCGTTTCGGTCAGCTTCTCCAATGTATAGCAGCAGGGGAGGCTCACCGACGTACCTGCAACAACTTTTTAACTTTCGATCGAAGGCCTCCAGCCGTCCAGTCCAAAAAACATTGTTACAACACCTTCAAATCCGCGGACCCATCACCTTTCCTTTTGCGCTTTTTTCAGTCAAGGTCTAATGCGTGTAAAGTGGGACTTCATTCTGATCCTAGCTCTTGCGAGCAACCATCTAAGTGTAAGCGTGTAAGTGGAAGTGTAGTACAGTGTAATGTAATTTTAACATTTGCATACAGGTGCTGACCGTCATAGCCACCACAGTCATTGGTTCAATGTTGCCGTCCTGTTCTGGAGTTTTTTTTCTCTTTCCAGCCTTGGACAATGTTTGTGGTTTTTGCTCGCTATGAACATCTACGATCTACAGTATGAACTCGTTCTTTTGCGGTACATGTCAAGACCGTGCCCTCACTTGTTCCCGTTGGGCGACTGCGAAGCTGTAAGGCCATGGCGCTGCGCTGCTCTCAGCTGCATCACGGACCTGAAGCTCTCAGCCGGCACACCCTTAGAGGTGGCTCTTTCCGTGGTAGCTCAGAGGCCAGATTTGGGATAATTTCAGGTGGCTGAGGCTGAGGCTGGCAAAATGTTCCACAAGAAGTGCACCCTCCTGATGCGGTCAAAGGACGCCGCAATCAGATGCAATTGGAAAAATGTGCTTAGAAGCACACAGAGATGACCGGGAGGACCGGGTAGGCGCTCAAACGTGAAGGGTGCAGGCGGCGCAGGTATCAGTCGCAGTTTCCTTTTCATGGGAGCGATGTGAAGGAAAGTAGCGATTTGAAACGCCGTGGCGCGGCTGCATGAAGGAGGGAAACAGTTGGTTTGATCCAGGTTTCTTTCTGCTAGCAATCTAACAGTGAAACGTGTTTTATCTGTGTGCGAAAACTATTTCAAAAGGTCAATAAGTCAAATTGTTGGATAGATGCTCTTTCCGCTGCATCCGAATGTCGCAATGGCAATGGAAGAGTAGTCAAATGTTTGAAAGGCCCATCCCGAACCGTCAAAAAATCACATTGTCGAAAAGTTGACAAGTCAATCTGTGTCCGGAGTCCAAATAACCGAAAAGTCAACAAGTCAAACAACAAACGCCTTCCGCTATCAGCAGCGTATGACTGGAGTGATCATCATCCTTGCGATGGTAAATGCTCAAGGCAGTTTGAATGGTAAGCAGCAGAATCGGTGGATCGCTTCATGAGCAGTGGTTGATCAAATTCAGTGCAAGCCAACGCAGCTCATGCTTCAAAGAAACTGCGTGGGCCAAAGTGTGAAAAAGACTCATGTGTCATCATCCGGTGATGACATTCTCGTAGCCGACTGGCCCACAGCCACTACCAAAGCTGCGCAGGTCCTGCAGCAAAGCCAGGGTCGGCGACCATCCAGGCGGTGCGTGGGTGCACAGCACCGGCACTTGCCAGTCCTTGCGTATCGTGTTGGAGATGTCTTCTGGAACCTGTGGGAGACGTTGTTCAGTCCGTCAGCGACTTTGGCCCAGCCCTCTTGGCATCGTCAAGTACAACTATATACAACAACTATTGAAGATCATCCATTTCCTTGTGGTGCTCCTTCTTGAGGTCGGTGATACGCTGGAGTTCGTTTGGCGTTTGCCGCCTCTTTCTGGGCGCGTTGGTTTTCGTTCCCAATCTAAGGGCACCGCCCCACGCAGTTTTGTCGGAGTGCATACGTGCAGGACAGAACACGCCGTGGCCAGGACTCAAATGAGAAAACGAGTGTACCATGAGAAATGTGCTGAGCTGTCATGTCACACATTGTCGACAAACACTCCTCTTCTTTGCATAAGCGACTCTGGTAAGGGTGTTGTGGGGTGCCACGTCGTGTTCAGCAAGCGCGGCTTTACTCGTTTACCCGTTTTCATTATCACGGTGAAAGAGGTCTTGTGCCCATCGGCACATAGGGAGTCTATCAAATTGAGCCGCCTCGCCCAGCATGGGTTGTGGTTAGGCCCTTGGCGAACTCTATATATATATAATTAATCTACCGCTTCCCACCCGCTCGCAGGTTTGCGCGTTGCGCCGCATAGTTGGGGTCGTGGATATTTTCACTCGGCCGTAGCGAAGTCAATCCGCGCGGAGAGCTTGATTTCACGGGCCGCATGACTGACTGAGTGGGGAGAACGAAGATTCAAGCCGCAATGACCGCAACCCCAGCGAATAGGACAAGCCAACTTTCAGGCCATTGACTATGAGCGCGAAGCCACAAGGAACCGGTCAACAAATTACACTGTATATTAGCGGGAAGCGGATGTGCTCGAAGCTGGCATGTGCTACTGGCCATGTGCCTTTTGGATGCTGCTGTCGCAACCATTCACAGTCCAAGCAAAAATGAGTCTGTCGTGCAAGGTCCCCTTCTATTTGGCTGAGCAGCGTCCATCTTCCAAAATGCATGTTGAAGAGCTGACTGGAACTAGAGCTAACTAGAGCTAGACCTGTGAAAAAGCGCATTTTGTACGAGACTTCCTTCCAAAATGCATGTGGAAGAGCTAACTGGAACTAGAGCAGTTGCAAAACACAATGGAATTCCATCAACAGCACGTACACAAGAAACGGGTGAAAACTCTAGTTACAATGGAGGGACGATTCGAGCATGATCCGAGCATGACGCGAGGACGTGCCGCGCCGCAACCGTCGTTCCGCAGAGCTTGACTTGCCAGGTTCGGAGCCACCCTTTGTATTGAAAAACACAGCACTTCGTGCGTCCGCTATCTCTCGAAAATGCATTTTGTGCGAGACTTCCTTCCAAAGTGCATGTTGAACACCTGCAAAACGAAGCCATTCTGCGAGACTTCCTTCCAAAATGCATGTTGAAGAGCTGACTGGAACTAGAGCTAACTGGAGCTAGACCTGTGGAAAAACGCGTTTTGTGCGAGACTTCCTTCCAAAATGCATGTTGAAGAGCTAACTGGAACTAGAGCAACTAGAGCTAGAGCTGTTGAAAAAAGCATTTTGTACGAGACTTCCTTCCAAAGTGCATGTTGAAGAGCTGACTGGAACTAGAGCTAACTAGACCTAGAGCTTTTGAAAGTCCGTAACACGGAAGTTTCGCACCCTAAACTTCCTTTGAACATTTTTGCAGTATGATAGTAGCGGAACGCACAAGTTCTTGAATGCCAAAACATCGCAGTAGACAGCGTTGTTCTTACGTAGACTCGCGCAGACTGTGTCGCGTCAAAAGTCAACCATGCCCAAACTCACCTCGTTGCATTTCACCGTGTTTCTAGTCAGCGCTCCACCTCGCCGCATTCCACTTCACTGCCCACCTCACTACAATTGCCTCGTACACACCAGCACATCATCATCTCGCCAAGCACCGCAAAACAAACGCACCCTGTCGCTTTTGTTTTGAAGTCACTGCTAGGAGTTGCACCCCCCAAACCTCCCACGGCGTTCACTTCCTCCCTGCCTTTTTGTTTTGCCTTCCTTACCTGGCCCTGCTAGTGTTCGTTGCCTTTCACCAACCGTTGGCCTTAGATGCTTGTCAAAGGGTTTGCAGGCGAGCACTTGAAAGAAAACTGTGTTTGAACTGGCGAGGCCACACCTGCTAAGCCTGGATGCCTCCAAGTGCAGTGCCTTCCATGGGGATGATGCATTGCAGCAGCTCTCAGCTGTTTTACGAGGCACTGTTTATGAGCCTCCGGGCCGCAGGTAAAGATGCAGCCTTTGGGAGACCCAAAAGATCACGCATATAAACAAAGTAAGAGTTCAAGGTCACAGTCATTTTGACTTTGCAGAACTCATGGTCTTACTTACTTGGTGTTCATCCTTCCAGTTTGCCAATCCGACGCCAGGTGTTGGCCATCCAAAGCCTCGCCCTTGGCTGCGGCCAGGTGAGGGCTTGCAGCGGCTTTGCTTGCCACTTGATGCAGGCGCCGGATCAGCCAGTGATTCGTGAAGTTTCAGTAATTGAGTTCATATTGCGTTTTTGTTTTATATACTGTAGTACTTGGTAATCTTTGCATTGCATGTATTTGTCGACGGTCCTTCGGGCAGACATTGAGACTTGGAATGTGCACAAAGCACGTGAAAAGGATCACACAGTCGTCAATAATTTGATTCCCGCCTCATTTCGGTGTCGATTTTGTCCACCCGCTTGAAATATTTGGAAGCCCAATGAAACTTTTCCTGACAGCACACCAGTAGATTCTACAGGTGCTTTGATGCCAGAGCATGCCTGTCACAGTAGACACAATCCAGACAACCCCAAGTTGTCCAAAACCAGCCTTTCTAATTCAGTACCGAACAAAGACGGTTGAACCGATATGCCACATGTCCGGGCAGTGTTCAGGGCCGCGAGAGTCGAGAGGTTTGACCCGTGCCTCGTGCCGCTGCCTTCAACGTCTTGGCTTGGAACGCTGGGCCTTCCACAGTCCACCCACGAGGCCTGGAAACCTCGCCTTGGTCTGAAGGAACGCTGATAGCACTCAAATCTCAGTTTCGAAAGACAAAATCATCACCGACCGAAGATGATTTGATAAGAAATAGAAAAGAATCCATGCCAGGGGCGCTGTGCTCGTAAGTCGACCACTCTTCCCTGGAGTCGAGCAGCCTGAGCTCATCAGGCCTTGAGTTGCAGGGTCAAGCGAGCTAGTTTCCCTACCAAAACAGCCTGTTGGACGTGTTTGTTTCTTGCCACAGATATATATTCTGAAAAAGCACCAGGCTTTGCCCATGCTCATTGATTTTTGATTCAGAACACAGCAGACCTTTCTGCTGAGAAAATACCTTTGAATGCTTGTTTGGGGCACGAGTGGCTTGGCAGGTCAGTGATCCTCTTGCTGCAACATGACCGCCGTGGTTCTGTGGGCATTCTGCTCAACAAGCAGTGCAAGTTGGAACTGGACCGGGCACTGGCGCTGGAAATCTTGAAGCGGAAAATGCGCGCTCACCACAAGGCTATAGCCCAAAACAATCCACCACGAAACCATTTAGACTTGGTGGTTTTGTTCCACCTACGAGCAGCTTTCACGGGGTGCATGGGATGGGTTTCTTCTCGTTGTGAGGGACTGAGCAGAATTGACAGTTGTTGACCATAGCCATCAACTCGTCATTCTGAAGCCCAGTATCACCCTAACCCCATAGGTCCCATGCATTTGTTTGATGTATTAATGTAATCTAAAAAAGCAAAGTAATGTAGCGCAATGCAATGCAGTGCAGTGCAACGGTATGTGTATGAATGTGTATGAAATGAATGTATGTAATGTCATGTCATGTCATGTAGTGTAATGTGTGTATGTATATTTTTTTGCGTGTATGTAGGCGTGTATGTACGTGTGTTTGTTTGTTTGGAATGTGGCTTCTTTTTGCTTTTTGATTTTTCAGCAGGGGGACACAGCATTTAACTGGGACTGTGTCCAACGAAGCTACCAGTGAAATGGGATATCCAGCTTGGCCAGCTGGATGTACCTGCAACAAACTTTAAGTTTCCGTAAAGGGCTAATGCACTCGGCAGACAAGAGCGTACGTCGTCAGCTTGTCGTTCGACCTCTCGATGGCTTCTTTTGGATTTGCTGGCCACTTGAAACTTGGTGGACCTCCACTTCTTTTCAGGTTTCTCACCTGTATCCTTAGGAAATGGTAACCTAGGCCGGCGTGCGGCACCGCATTCACATCAGCATGCATTTCTATAAGTGTGTCCGGCTTAATGCCAGCCCAGGGTGAGCCCGCAGAGTGCCCCCTGTAGACCCGTTGAACGGGGGTTTGTCGAACGTATCCCCTGCCCGGATACAGAGCAGCTCGCAGCGAGCGTAGGAGGCTTATGCCAAAGTTATTTGCCAAGACTTGTCGGATTATTGAATTCCAAGCTGGCTCATGCCTTTACGTGGCCGTAGCGGTCAAAGCTGCCAGCCATGTTGGCACGGCGTACGTGGCCGCAGCGGCCGAAGCTCGTTCAAGACTCGTTGGAGTCTGCCGGAGCCTTAGAGTGATGAGTTCCTCCCCACCTATTCCCGCTCCACCCGCCATGCTACCCTTTCCTGCTGGATTGGCACCGACGGAGGGCATCCCTATGGTTGCTCAAGCTGTACTTCATCGTGAAATTCTTCATGTACATGCTTCCTTGGAGCTCATACTTGGGATTCTTCGTACTCGGTTGGCCCTCCCTTCCTGGACCGGGTTACCTGCCCTTGTCTTCAAGTGCAGCTACGTGGCCTGGATTCTGCCATCCTTCAAGCGATGCAGGTCACCCATACCGCCCTCCTCTACACTCATGAGTCATGAGTTGATGACCACCTTCGGCTTTATTCACACATTGCACCACAGCCCGGAACAGCTTGATGCCGAACTACGTGGACGCACCTCCTTTGTGGACCCTTGCACCTTGTTCTCCCCGATTCCGGATTCCCGCCCTTCGACCTCTACGGCATCTACGACAGCTACACCATTGCCATGATACCATCGCTTCGCCTCCGGCCCCAGCCGCCGCGCTGGCTGCAGTGCTGCTTCGACTCGTTCACGTTCTCGCTCACCCCTGAACCTCACGTTCTTCGCCACGGATCCATCTTAAAAGACCCACCTGTCTCTCTTTCCTCGGGATTTTGATGTCAAAACTTCTTAAGCGCCCTTTTGTTCCACACCCATTTCTTTCCCATGTTTTTCCACCCTAAATGGTTTCTGCTTTCATTATGAGCTCGCTCATCAATGCACTGGATGTCCTCAATTTATACTCGGGCCCTATTCGGCCCCCTCACGATGTGTTTTTATTTCCTGGTTCTCGTGCGTTTCATTTCAACACTTTGATCCTCTTCAGCCATGGATCGTCGCACTTCCTCGGAATCCTCACACCGTCCCATGCCGGCCGGAGTCCTCCAGATCTCGTGATCATGTCCCACCTGATGGTGATGCTCCGGACTATGACGCCGGCGATGCACCTGACCCGCGCCGGGCACTGAGATTGTTCACTGAACCTAGCACCTGCTGCCCGACTGGCTGCTTCCGGGACTTCTCCTACACCACCGACGGCAGTTGAATCCCCACGGACTTCCGTCCCTCGACCAAGTCTCGCTCGGTAGTGGATGGGTGGGTGGCACTGGGAGGGGTTGAGGGAAGGAAGAGAGAGGTGGGAAAGGTTGGTGAATGTGTGGGTCCACTTGATGGGTGTGGACCAAGTAAATGCTGTGGAGGTCTTGAAGGATGTCTGCGGCTGTCTGGAGGAGTTGGTGGAGTTGTGTCAAAGCGACGGTCGTTCGTTGAATGATGGTGGTCACATCAGTGTGAGTGGACATGGGCCTCAATGTAGTCAAGCGCCAGCACGGAGGATCTTCGACCTCGATCTCATCCTGGACCAGTACGGGTACGCACACCTCGAGCTCCTATGAACCGGCCACCTTTCCCTCCCACTCCACCTACACAACTGTGGTCCTAGCAGTGGCCGCAGTTCTTTGAGGATCTTGAATAAGCTCCTGCGACGGTATGGTGCTTTGCAAGTGGCTGGACGTGTGTTCCCAATCTTGTAATGGGTTGAAAGTGAACTACAAAACCCTGTTGGCGCAGCCGGAAGCATGCCAAGTAGAAGACGGCCTGCGGTACAAAGTCACCATACCAAGCAGCAGGGAGCCGTTGAAAGGAAAAAGATCGGACGTTTGCGCCACCAGGTTGTTTCGCAGAACCACAGAGTCTAGGTACAAAGCGGCCTTTGGTGAATTCAGACGTTTCCACCAACTACCCTTGTCTTTTACCATGCCATACCGTCCTTTATGATGAGATGGTAGGTGAATTCGTTGAAGAGCTCTGGGGAAGTAGAGCCGCCAAGAGTTCTGCAAATTACGCCTTGGCAGCCATTCAAATTCAATATTTAAGACCACAAACCAAGACAATTACCCGTGGTCATGGAAGTTGATCAAGTCATGGAATGAAGTTGAAACACTTTGACGCGCCACGCCACTATCTACAAGGTTGCTATTGGTTTTCGCCGGGGTTGCGTTAAGATGGTGTCAACAAATTGTTGCACATCAGGCCACCTTGTTCATTCCCACTTCCAAAGGTGCCAAACTAAAGTTCTTGCCATTGGAGAGAGTAGAGCTCTCTGAGTCTACTTGCTTCGGGACGGCTTACCGCAGTGGAATTAGCATTGACCAATTGTTGACTAACGGTCGTCAGCCAGCACTGCCAGAAATTATCTGAATACCTCGCTGCAAACCTTCATTCAGCTTATGCTACACCAACTTGCCCAGCAGCCCATTCGCCGTGCTGCGCACGATTTCTTTCACTTGTCAGCTCACGGCGCGTGGAAGGGGGCCATATGTGCTCGAGGAAACTGTGTTGCTGACGTGATGTTGGCATACGCATGCGCGGTCGGTTTTGTAGCCTTCAAGTCATAAGGCGGGGGCTGATTGACAAAAAGAAACCCTGTACCGAGCGAGGGCTTGCGGAATGCATTTATATGTGGGCTCCCTTTTTTTCACCCTCGGACAATGTGTGTTTCACCTTCTTTTTTCCAACCCTCGAAACCTTTTTTTCACCCTCAAGATTCCTTTTTTCCCCACCCTATGGAACCTTTCTTTTCCACCCTTCCAAAACCTCTTATGTTCACCCTGCACCCTGTCATTTTCACCCTGTAGCATGTTTCTTTCACCCTTCACCTTGTTTTTTTCACCCTTCACCCTTTCTTTTTCACCCTCGACCCTTTCTTTTCAACCCTCTGCCGGTGAAGCAGGTAACCCCTGGAACCTGCACAGAGAACGATGTCACCTCCGGTTTGTTTCACACCGCTTGTTTGCACCTGCCAAACCCTTTGTTTTCACCTCAATAACTTCTTGTTACTAACCCTTCGAAACCTTCCGGAAACTGCGCAGAGACTGTCCGGAACGACGGGAAACGCCGGAAACTGACCCGGACGCCTCCGGAACGTGAGGCAGCACAGGATCCATCCATCCATCCATCCATCCATGCATGCATGCATGCATCCATCAACGGAGTGCCAACCAACCAACCAAGCAACAACGTGGCCAAGCCAACAAACCAACCAAGCAACCAACAAACCAAGCAACCAAACCACATAACTCCATGTTTTCCCCAAGTGCTGCTAGAAATCCCGCGCGGGAGAGGCTTGGTTTGCATTGCGGGCGAGGCGCTGCGCCCTCCCCATTTACACAGCATCCATCCACCCATGCATCCATCAACGGAGTGCCACCAACCAACCAACCAAGCAACAACGCGGCCAAGCCAACAAACCCACCAAGCAACCAACAAACCAAGCAACCAAAACCACCCATCCCGCAGCGCTGCGCCCTCCCCGCACCCCCTCCCGCCTCTATTTACACAGCATCCATCCTTCCCTTCCCTTCCCTTCCCTTCCCTTCCCTTCCCTTCCCTTCCC